TATATATATATATATATATATGTAAAAAGTATAAAGCAAACAAAAATAAAATTAATCACCGAATTACATGCAAAAGTGCAATCAGGTCATTAAACTAATAAAAAAGTGCAATTAGATTTTGTTTTATCAAAAATAATACAATTTGACATATTCATCAAGTCATTAACGTGGTAATTATTATATTAATTATTTTTTTTAAAAGGTTGTTTTCATAATTTTATTTTTTATTTTTTAAAAACCCACCCCTCCCTGTCTTCGTCTCTGACCGAGAGAATAAGAAATTTCTTTATCTATGGATTAGAGACGAAGCAGTTTCTTTGTCTCCAGATTGGAGACGGAGACGGAGGGGACGGAGTTTATATATATATAATTTTAAAAATATAAATAAATTAAAATAATAAATTTTAATATGATGAATGCCACATCATTGTGACATGGTTAACATGTTAAATTTGATCAAATACATAATTTTAAATAATTTAAAGATATAATTTTTTTTATTTTTTTTTTTGAATTGAATGACTTGATTACATTTGTATGTATAGTTCAAATTTGAATCCTTTTTCAAGTAAAAATAAAATGGCATGTTTGGTTCATGGAATAGGTCAGGAATGGAATAGCATTCCTTGGAATAGACCTATTCCATCGTTTGGTTGGATCATTTTGTCATGGGAATAGCATGCCTAGGAATGAGCTATTACCTTCGCAAGGGGAATAGCCATTCTTAGGGGGGGCCTTGGTATTAGCTATTCCCATGTCCTTGGGAATAGCTTTTATATCATAAATACCAAAAATACCCTTTGCATATTATATAATATATATATATTTAATAAATATAGTGTATTATATAAATTTATATATTTAATTAATTATAATTTTTATCCATCAATCTATCAATAAATAAATATATATATATATATATATTATATATATATATATATATGTAATATGTAAAAAAAAATAACTGTATAAAACTCCTTAATTATGGAGTCTTGGCTCCTAAATTAAGTAGTCTGCTCATCTGCATGCCTAGCGGATGGGCATTGCAAGCTTGCCTAGTGGATGAGCATTGCAATTGAAATTATGGAGCCTTGAGACTCCTTTTATAGGAGCCTCAAGGCTCCATTCCTTATTTCTCCAACCGATGTAGGATAAGTGAGAATTATAAATATAAAAATAAATATGTATTTGTATAATAATAATAATAATAATAATAATAATTATTATTATTATTATTATTATTATTATTATTGTTATTGTTATTGTTATTCTATCTCTCACACACACACATACATATACATGTATATAAATACAAATATAAATAAAAATAAATAAATAAATAAATATATATATATATATATATATATATAACATTCAGTATATCATAATCATATTCATTATTATTATTATTATTATTATTATTATTATGTATAAGGGTATTTATGTCTTTAAAACCTATTCCATTTCTATTCCTTTAACCAACCAAACACTGGAATACAATTACTAAGTCTATTCCTTCAGCCAACCAAACAACAGAATACAATTCATAATACAATTCATATTCTATTCCTTACCTATTCCATTCCATGTGGAATAGCATTCATATTCCCTCCAAATTCATTCCGTGAACCAAACGTGCTGTAAGTGATAAAACAATATGTTGCCTGTCGGGGGACTTTGACAACAATATTAATAACGAAGAGGGGTGAAAATGCTATTTCGACTAATAAGCACAGCGCACACTGGCAGCAGCTATACAGAAGATAAAGATTGCACCTTTGCACCTAAAGTAGCCATTGTTAAGCTGCTTGAAGTTCTCCGACACCGAAAGATTGCATCTTTGGGGGCTAAACAAGAAAAAAAAAAGAGGAGAACAATTATGCTGTATCTCTCTTCTACACTTGTTCCCAAGCCTCCTCTTTCTTGTGAGTTTATCTTTATCTATCTCTCTGTTATCCACTTTCTGGAATGAAAATCGTTTAATTTTTATTTTGATTGTAATTCTTGGTATCATTGTTTTGTGGCAAAGTGTAATTCCTCTCAGTATTTGGTTTTCTAAGAGTCCTGTCTAGACATTGGGTTGCCATGTTCTTATTTTCTGGCTGATGTTAGAAAAGAAATTTTAACCCAAGCTGACTGATAAGAGTTTGATAGTTAATGTAGTATTGTTAAAATGTTAATTTTTGAGAAATTTAAGGAAAACTAGATGGGAATCATGGGATCCAGCAGATGCTGTTTGCCTAAAGTGCTGTCTTCTGCAACTTCCTAATTGCACAAGGTTTTGGAAAATTTTGGGATTTCATGGCTGAAGATGATAGGTTTAGCTCACTGCAAAAGGAAGTGAGGTTTTATGGACCTTCTACAACTTCCTTACTATTTAGAACCTTAATGCATTCGTAGTGGCATACGCCATTTCATAATGATCTCTGCTAACAAATGCTGATAGAGCATATAGTAGGAAGTAATATTTCGGTGGTGTGTTGTGCTGATAATGTTGCGTTTTGTGCAGATAGAACTCTTTCGGTTTGTCAGACACCCCAACCTCACAGGAGGGGATTACGCTGGGGTTGCTATATTAATGACACATTACGAGTTAACAGGTAGCTTTGATTAGTTTGTGAACAATGGCTTTTGCAGTTTTGCCATTTTCTTTCTTTGGATTGCCATCAATTTCATTGTTTAGTAGTTTATAAAATACCTTTTTCGTGGTTAGAGAACAGAATAAGACGGTATTGCATTCTGAGGAGAATTTGAGGCGGAGATTTCTTCTATTTTTCCTACTTACATCGGGCATATCCCCAGCGTTCCCTTGTTTTGGGAAGACAAAGAGCAAAAACCCATATGATGAAAGACGTTTACTGCAACAGAACAAACGGATACAGAGAGAAAATAATGTACCTGACGACTTCCCTAATTTTATCCGAGAAGGTCCGTTTATCTGTTCTTACAAGTTACAACTTAATTGATTTTATAGAGTCCTCAATATATGTCAAGGACCTTGTGGTTTAGTGGCACCAAGTTGCTCTCCCATATGGGAGGTTGTGGGTTTGAGCCTCAGTGGAGGCGGTATTGACTCTTTGTGCTTCAGTACGTTGAGAAAGTAGTTATGAATAGATACTGCATTGTAATAGAGTCAGTAGAACTCGAAAAAAAAAAAAAAAGTCCTCAAGATATCAGGAGCCCCCCCTCTCTCTGTATATATATATATCTTCAAGTTTCCATTTTTCAACTGTACCAAAAAAATAAGAAAGCTATTTGTGATCCGTCCAGGTTTCTCAGTGAAAGTAGTGGCATCAGAAAACTACGTAACACGTGACTCAGGTTTGATATTGTGGGATATTGCTGTTGGTAAAGGTGATTGTCCAAAGGCTGGTCAACAGGTTTTTCTTTCGTTTTATATTTTACCTGAAAGTGCAGTTTGATTTTGTCGAAACACCGAAACTTGTCATGGATTATGGCTATTAGGATGTGGTTCATGTGCTTCTATGGATCCTACTTATTTTATAGGATCAAAAGAGAGTGTATTTATCAATTTAAAATATGATATTCTTTTTATTGAAACATTACGTGACAGACAAAAAAACATGAAACGAATTAACATCAGTAGCATAATGTTCCCCTGAACGAGGTTTCTCCTTGTGGACAGGTGACTTTCCATTATGTTGGTTATAATGAGTCTGGCCGTCGCATTGACAGTACATACTTACAAGGTTCTCCCGCAAAAGTTCGAATGGGCACTAATGCCTTGATCCCAGGTGATGCAGACATTAATAGATATAGATATGGTTTTGCTTTTCTCGAAGAAATCTCTCTAAAAGCTTCGAGCTTTCTGCACAGGTTTCGAAGAGGGACTTAAAGACATGAAGCCCGGAGGAAGGAGGAGAATAATCGTACCTCCTGAGCTAGGGCCACCGGTGAGTCTTCTACATCTCTCTCGATATGTTTGGGAAAAAAAAAATCTGGGCATGATCAAAATGAAACCAATGTTCATACATTTGCATATCCGTTGACACAATTCTGTTCATATTCATAATTCACTTCTAATTTACGTTTACTAGCTACGAGGTTGCTAAGGGACGATGATGCATTGCAGGTAGGACCTTCAACATTCTTCAGTTCAAAACAGTTTGAAGTTTTTGATGTGGAACTGCTAAGCATTCAAGATTGTACCCGGAGGACCATAGGATTCTACTCCGATGTTGTCTGCAATTGATTTAGCGAGATATATTCACATTTTTAATGTTCTGATTCTTGCCATTTCATAGAAGTACCAATGAAAACCATGAGTTAAAGGAGTTGTATTGTTGAAGCTTTAAGAACACAAGAAGTACAATAGTATGCCAAATCTATAATGTTGTACAATGCAAGAGTACTAGAATTTGCATTTATGGGAATTCTTTAATATTCCCTCCGTCTCATTTTACTGGTCTTATTGAGAATTCAGAATTGATTAATTAATATTAGATTTCACATTTCTAGGGTAGCAAATGCGGTATTATTGAGAATTCATTAATATTAGATTTCACGTTTACTGTGCAATAAATGTGCTACATTTGGAAATTTTTCAATATTATAAATCACATTTGACAAAAGAAAAAGATAATCATTTATTGATTTTTTTATTAGACTAATAATCAATATTAGATTTCACATTTATAGTCAAATGTAATAAATGTGTAACTTTTGAAAATTTCTCAATATTAGAATTTGTGTTTTTAGAAATTCTTTAATATTAGATTTGGCATTTCTCGTGTAGCAGATGGGCCATTTTATATAGTGGAATAAATGTGTTATTTTTGGTAATTCTTTCATGTTTGATTAAAAAAAAAAAAACATTTTTTGATGTTTTTTAGACTAAAGATGTAATTTTTAGGTTCCTTCGAATGAAAAACACAGCCATTGTTACTTTATGATTTATAATGGTGATAAACGTATAAACTGCAATGGAAGATTATGGAAAACATGATTTGTAAATACTAAATACGGATAACTTCTGCTGCAATAACGTTAAAACTATGTTTTTAAACTTTAATCATCATCATCATCGCTGTTGCTCATCTCCCCTGCTGCGTCTTATGTCATATGCTACTTTTAACGTGCGTGACAACCTTCGCTTCTGCTTGAATTGCCCCCCTCTCCCTACCCTTTCCTCAATTTCCGTCAGCTCAAGCGCTTTCCCCCCGCGTATATAGATACAAGACTTTGGAGAGGCGTATAGAAATTTTCGAGCTTTTTTTGTGATTGCGTGTATGGGTTTGCAGATATAAGATTTGGTGGCAAGTGTAGAGTGAAGGAGGAGTACTTGCCAAGTGTGGAGTTGGAAAATCTGTTGACTTCTCGCTGATTATATGCATTTAGAGCTGGGGATTTCGCCAATTTATCATGAATGGTATGTTGATTAGTACAAATCTGGAATGGTGAAGGAGTATAAATGTGTGGGTTCTAGTAGTGATTGGGATTAGCTGGGAAAATTTGGGTGCGGGCTAGGGTTTATTGAGGTTAAAGGTAAGGTTTTTATTTGGGAAATTTGCTAGTTTTGGAATTTTTGGTTGCTTAATGTTGTTGCCCGGTTCATTTCTTTGCTTATCCATAAAGATTTTTATTTTATTTTATTTTCTTTTTCCCTTATTTGATATCTTGTGTTCTTCTTCCTTCAGCAGAGAGCATGGGCGCCGGCGACTCCAGGTTGCCGGAAGTTTCTGGGTTTCTCCGTGCGGTAGATTTTGATTTTGAGTGCTCAGTTTTGTATGGATGCTTTAAGTTGCTAAAGTGGTAGGAAGCTTCTGGGTTTCTTTGATCATCTTTCAATTCATTTCTAGCTTGAAGTTGTGTGGTAGAATTGATTAGATATGAGTAGAAGGGTGCGGAGGAAATTGGATAGTGTAGGGATTGATGAGAATAATCATTCAGATAAGAGTGGGGAGGTTGATTGGACTAGGTTGGCTGATGATACTGTGATTCAGCTATTTTCCTCTCTGAACATTCGTGATCGGGCAAGCTTGGCTTCAACATGCCGGGCTTGGAGAGCTTTGGGTATGTCCCGATGTTTATGGCAGCAGATCGATCTTCGATCCTACAAGTTCGATGCTGCCACTGCAGCTTCTCTTGCTTCGAGGTGTGGGAGCCTTAAAAAGCTTCGTTTTCGCAGTGCAGAATCTGCAGATGCGATTATACACCTTAAAGCTAGGGATCTGAGGGAGATTAGTGGCGAATATTGCCGAAAGATCACAGATGCTTCACTTGCTATGATTGTGGCTAGACACGAGGCACTAGAAAGTTTGCAGCTTGGCCCGGATTTTTGTGAGAGGATTAGCAGTAGTGCAATAAAAGCGATTGCTATATGTTGTTCTCGTCTCTGTAAACTTAGGCTTTGTGGTATACGAGGTGTAGATGGAGATGCCATCAATGCTTTAGCTAAGCATTGCAAAAACTTAATGGACGTTGGATTTATGGACTGTCTAAATGTCGATGAGATAGGGATAGGGCAGGTTTTATCCCTTAAATTTCTTTCGGTTGCAGGAACAACCAATATGAAGTGGAATTTGGCTTCGCAACATTGGAGCGAGCTGCCTAACTTGATTGGTTTGGATGTTTCTAGAACGGATATCTCGTGTAGTGCTATCGAAAGAATGTTTTCGTCCTCAAAAAGCTTAAAGGTTTTATGTGCTTTATATTGCCCAGCGCTTGATAAAAGTCCCACCTTTGTTTCCCATAACAATAACAAAGGTAAACTGCTACTCACTCTCTCCACAGACGTTTTTAAAGAGGTAGCTTCGTTGTTTATCGGTACTATAAATAAAGAGAGGAATATTTTTTTGGAATGGAGAGAATTAAGCTCCAAGGTGAGAAAGCCAGAGGACATTATGAATTGGGTTGAATGGATCATCTCCCATTCTCTTTTGCGTATTGCTGAGGTCAACCCGCAAGGTTTGGATACTTTCTGGCTCAACCAAGGTGCATATCTGTTTCTCAGTTTGACGCAAAGCGCACAAGAAGAAGTGCAGGAGCGGGCTGCAACTGGGCTAGCAACATTTGTAGTCATTGATGACGAAAACGCTAATGTTGACAGTGGAAGGGCTGAAGCAGTTTTGCAAGATGGCGGGATTCGCCTTCTGTTGAACCTTGCAAAATGTTGGCAGGAGGGGATTCAGTCGGAAGCTGCAAAGGTAGGACTTTTGTATGGTTAATCTTCAAAGGAACGGCATTTGCCTTATTTCTTGAGATTGCATTCACTTCAAAGTTCAAGTCTTGTCTTTACTCCAAAGTTTAGAGATTAGTAACCAGCTTGGTTGGGGTGAGTGGCCGTGCACTCTTGTCCCTTAAGAGAGGTCGGGAGTTCGAACCCCCTCTCGTTGGAAAAACCAATCTAGCCAGCATTTTGCCCCTTAATTGAGCCGGCCTGGTGCGAACGGGGTTAGTCTGAGTATGGTACGGGCTTAAAGGCGCCTCCTACAGTTAGGGCCCGAACCCCCTCTCGTTGGAAAAACCAATCTAGCCAGCACTTTGCCCCTTAATTGAGCCGGCCTGGTGCGAACGGGGTTAGTCTGAGTATGGTACGGGCTTAAAGGCGCCTCCTACAGTTAGGGCCCGAACCCCCTCTCGTTGGAAAAACCAATCTAGCCAGTACTTTGCCCCTTAATTGAGCCGGCCTGGTGCGAACGGGATTAGTTTGAGTATGGTACGGGCTTAAAGGCGCCTCCTACAGTTAGGGTCTGCTCAGGACACCTCGTGGTCTGACCATTTTTTTTTTTTTTGAGATTAGTCTAATCATTTCTTCCTAGAGAGATGGCTAACACATGACTCAAATGTCGAATCAACGAGTGCTTATGTATTCACTATCAATTCTTATACAAATTTATTCAACTCATGCAGGCTATAGCAAACTTATCTATGAATACCAATGTTGCAAAAACTGTTGCCGAGGAAGGAGGTATAAGTATCCTAACAGATCTGGCTAGGTCTGTGAATAGGTTGGTTGCTGAAGAGGCTGCTGGAGGACTGTGGAACCTCTCAGTTGGGGAAGAGCATAAGGTGGTCATCTTTGTAACTTTCAAACCGAAGTGCATTCCTTTAAATTCATCTGAAAAAAAGTTGTCTTTCCAGGCTTCCATTGCCGAAACAGGTGGCTTAAAAGCTTTAGTCAATCTTATCTTCAAATGGTCCGTGAATGGTGGTGAGGGGGTTCTGGTATGTGATTACAGTATCTTCCTGCATATGTATGTGCATAAAGCCATAAACATTTCTCCACGCCATTCATGTTGTGCAAGAAAAACCGCAAAAAAATATATTTATCGTTTCTTGATCTCAGGAACGGGCTGCTGGTGCATTGGCGAACCTTGCAGCTGATGACAAATGTAGCTTGGAAATCGCTTCAGTGGGTGGTGTTCATGCGCTGGTAACGCTTGCGCAAAAGTGCATGGCTGAAGGAGTTCAAGAACAGGTATCGAGATTTTCGACTGTTGAGTCATTAATGTGCAATCCAACTATCAGCTTAGGCTTTTAGTTGAGATGGAGCACATGCTTCAATTTGGTAGACCAAAGGTCATGGGTTCGAATCTCAACGCCACCCATAAGCGACTACGCTTTTAGTTGAGATGGAGCACATGCTTCAATTTCGACGACTTTAGGAGCTTATTTTTGTGCACATAGTCGATTGAATTTGCACTTAAAATCTTTACTTTATCCCTCTCGGTTTCTGTTACTGTACAGGCAGCTCGTGCCTTGGCAAATCTGGCTGCTCATGGAGATAGCAACAACAACAATGCTTCTGTTGGACAAGAAGCGGGAGCTCTCGAGGCACTTGTTATTCTTACGCGTTCTCCCCATGACGGTGTTAGGTATGTTGAATTTGGAAGATGGAATGGCCTGGCGGGTAGAGAATAACACCACCCGCCAGTTAGGCGGAAGCAATGATGAAGAATCAAGGAATAGAAAATGTATATAAGACTGATATATTAGTATTATTTTTTGTGTTTCTAACAAAGAAACATAGTACATATATATATATTCAAACACATAACTGTAAGTAACTACCCATAACTAACACCTATTCATAAACAGACACAACCCTATAGATAAACCTAACTCTTTATTTTTCAGCAATGTATACATATATACTTCTTGAGTTATGACATTAAAACACGTGATTTGAAAACTCATGCTATGTTAGCTTCCATTGCACCATTTTTAGCGTCCAATCCTTAGTAGATAGATTGAAGAAGCTGTCCAGTATCTTACTTTGAGCATTTTTATCTGCTCTGAAATAGGCAAGAAGCTGCGGGAGCATTGTGGAACTTGTCGTTTGATGATAGGAACCGAGAAGCAATTGCAGCAACCGGTGGTGTTGAAGCTTTGGTATGAGCAATTTAATCCGGAATACCTTAATCTTTAATTCCTATGTTTGACAGAGACTTTCGATTTCTTTTTTTGTACCAGGTTGCTCTTGCAAAATCCTGTTCAGATGCCTCTCCCGCTCTTCAGGAGAGGGCTGCTGGTGCTCTATGGGGCTTGTCTGTTTCAGAAACAAATAGGTATATTATTTGTCGAAATGAGTGGTTAATAATGTTTTGTTGTGATACTGTTACCTGGATTAATGGTTTTTTTTTTTTAAAAATAATCTTCGAGAAGTCATTTCACTGGTCATGTCGTTTTACTGATACCGAGAGATAATAGAATTAATGCTTTATACAATGTTGTTCTTGTAATAGTATTGCTATTGGACAAGAAGGCGGTATAGCACCACTTATAGCACTGGCGAGAGTTGAAGCTGAGGTAATTTTCGATTTGCTAAAAGAAATACTTCCATTTACTCCCTCGATCCTTTAAAAAATGACCCGGAATAGTTCTCGTCAATTGTTTTATAGGTTGATTTCCAATGATGCCCTTTTTGTTAGATTCAAATGATTTGATAAATAAAGAGAATATTATATTACGCGTATGAAGGGCAAAATGAAGTTACCGGGTAATAAATGGTTAACAAGTGCATTAAGTGCGGTTTTCCTAAATCCATGTGTTTTTTAAAGGGGAAGTTTTCGACTTTTCGTGGGGCGGTAATAAATGCTTGTTAACACTGTAACTTGAAATGGTGACAACCGACTCGGGCGCCCATCCTGTTCAGAATTTTGTTTTAGGCCTTCTTGGATCTTCGATGAGCCTAGGATATTTTTGTCATTTCAGGATGTCCATGAGACGGCTGCTGGTGCTCTTTGGAATCTCGCCTTCAATTCCGGTAACGCTCTTCGAATAGTGGAGGAAGGGGGAGTTCCTGCCCTCGTTCATCTTTGTTCTACTTCGGTATCGAAAATGGCACGCTTCATGGCTGCATTGGCGTTGGCCTATATATTCGACGGAAGGTAAACTTATCTGATCTGTCCACTTCGGTCAACGTGTTTTTTCGTGGAGTTCTGCTTGTAGATTGTGTATTTGTATCTCTATATATCGTACAGAATGGACGAAGTTGCACTTCTGGGAAGTGCATCGGAGAACGCCTCGAAGAGTGTGAATTTACATGGCGCTAGAAGAATGGCTTTGAAACACATCGAGGCTTTCGTGCTTGCGTTTTCTGATCCGCAAGCATTCTCTGCCGCTGCAGCATCGTCGGCCCCTGCAGCGTTGACTCAAGTGACTGAATTAGCGCGAATTCATGAAGCGGGTCATCTTCGATGCAGGTTTGCGTAATTTACATTGCAACCTATTAGTACGTGTTTGAACCTCCGATGTCGCTCCCGTTTTATCCCTGTATGTTCCCGATGGAGATATTGTAAAATGGAAATGACCCAAGAATATAGGCCCCCGGGGTCCCAAGGACAGGACCCGGCAGTGGGCAAGGGCCTTCGGGGCCGGCTTCCGAGGCCGGCCCCAGGCCGCTGGTCACTCTTGCTCCACGGCTTGGTCTCTTGGCCCACCACGATTTTAGGAGTTTGTTGGGTTTTCTGCTTTGTATAAATTAAGATTGGACTAGGATCACTCAATTGGACTATAATGCACATGGGCCAAACTACACTAAAAGATTGAATTCAATCAATTAGCTAGTCTAACTCATGACCTTATAAACCCATATGTTCTCTCTTATTTTATCAATGTGGGAATCTTAACAGATCCAAAAAGAATATTATTGCAATTCTTTCGTCTTTACTCTTTACTATTTTACCCTTATTATTCATGCAAACTTATTGATTCATACATACCCCGGGTCAATCTCTTCCATCAGTTCCCTAAGACTATCTTTTCTCGTTTCTTCCCTTCTTGTAGTGGAGCTGAGATCGGAAGATTTGTAAAGATGCTACAAAATCCTTCGTCTGTTCTTAAAGCATGTGCTGCGTTCGCCCTTCTTCAGGTCGGAGATTCCTCGCCTCTAGTTTCGGTTTCTTCTAGTGAACGGTTAATTTATTCTCCCGAGTGTACTGACCACCGCCTTACGTTTTTCCATTGCAGTTCACCATCCCGAGTGGGAGGCATGCGATGCATCACGTATGCCTTCTGCAGAATCCGAGCGCATCGCGCATTTTGCGTGCCGCAGCAGCTTCCGCCAGTGCTCCGCTCGAAGCCAAAATCTTTGCGAGAATTGTCCTGCGCAACCTGGAGCATCACCAGACAGAATCTTCGTTGAAATACTAGGTTGTCTGCCCAGTGTTGTACTTTCCTGTTCCTTTGCAACATAGATTCCTTGATGTTTTTCAACCCCCCCTTTGTACTGTATCTATTTTTAGCTGAAATGTGATATATAGAACCTGTTGGGAAGGCATTGGTACAAAATCCAATTGCTTGAGAATTTTCGTGTTTTATGTTTGATGGTATAAACATTCTTCTGAGATGAAGTGTTTGTTTCCTTGTATTCCTATCAGTTTATAGTCTTATAGAATTACATTCATGCTCATAAAAGGAGTGAAAACATACTTTTTGTTTGCTGATATTTTCATTATTGTGAAACTAATTCAGATTCGTTTCAAATTACATCTACAGAGTTGATCTCTTGACCTTACATCCTATGTTTGTTAAAAAAGGGAACAATAGCTAATCGGCTGACTAGATGACCTAGTCGGTGCCTAGGAGGTCTATGCAACGCTTAGACAGCCTAGTCGGCTGTTTAGCCGGTCAACCGCCTAGACCACCGATTATGGTGATACACTAGGCAGTCGGCCGACGCCTAGACTACCGATTATGGTATTACGTTAGGCGGCTAGCCGCCTAGACTACTGATTATGGTATTACGTTAGGCGGCCGACCAGCGTCTAAGTGCCAATTAATCAATGTCTAGGCAGGATGCGCTAGGCGGCCGATCAGCGCCTAGGCGCCAATTAATCAATGCTTAGGCGGGATTTTTGCGACACTGAATACAGACGGAAACTACAACATACTCAAGGTTCTTTCCCAATGCTTCACTTAGAATAGTGGGATTGTATTACATTCATGCTTTGATCAAAGTAAAATCATATGTTCTTCCTCCCATCCCATCCACCATGGAAGAGGAAATCAATCCCCCAAAAAACCCCAATTAGTGTATGAATATGCTAATGAAAAGTGTGTTATTTGGAAGAGTGCAGCAGAAGAGTTTCTCTGGCAGGCACATCAAGATCTTTGACATTCCAAGAAGATGATGCATTGTCAATCAAGTAAGGCAAAATATACTTTTTCATGTCACCATAGGAGATCTCAAGATGGCTCCCACTCACATTTATGAACTTCACTTTCCCAGCTTCATCCAATTCCCTCAAACCAATCCAATCTTCTGTGTACAGCTCAGTCTGCAGAAGTTCAAGTTCAGAACAAGAACACGGTTTTAAGGTGTCCAGAAATGGAGGGGAAAAACGCAAAGTTCAAACTTTACCTCCCGGGCAGACAAAAGCGGGCTCCACGAGCCATCGGAGAAGTATCCGAACCAGGATGTTTCCTTCGGGACCAGAACTTTATCATCGTCAAACTGGCCAAGTTTAAAAGAGCACGACAGAATCAAGAATCTTTTCAGTTATAAATGTAAATTTATACAACTCTAAACTTACCATGATAAGCACTAAATTTTCCAAGCTAGTAAACCGTTTCTTGTACGTGGAATTCATCTCTACTTCATTGTTGAGCTTCGGGAGAAACTTACATCCGTCTCTGTAGGCTTCTATATCCTGCAAATTCAACACGAAAGAGATGAGCAGACAAAATATGGGCACAATATATTCATTTCGAATACCATCAACTTACAGTCGGGATTTTTATATAACCCGCAGGTGCCAAATGATTCTGCAAACAAGTCAATAGCGATAAAGATGATTTAATACGTTTAGAATTCATCGAGAAAAGTAAAAGTACAGTAAATAGCAAACAAAGAAAACCGGAGAGTATGAACGCCAAAATCCAGACCTGAACAAAGTCGCTGTAAATTGCTAAATCGAGTAAAAAATCCACCATAATGCAGAACAGGCCGGACTGCAGAAAACGAAATCAACATAAACGTTCTTGTTCTTTCTATGGATATTATAGTACCTCGATAATTACTAGATTATATATATATATATATATATATATATATATATATATATATTACAATCACTTACTCCGCATAAAGGAACAGAAGCAATCCCGGCATGAGGACCAGCCAGAGATACGAGATTCTTCACCTGTGACAGACAAAACGAGACATCAAATTTATGGAAGAGTCGGTTCACAAACAGATATTGCAAATAACGCTCGAGAAAGGAAAGATCTTGAACTGATATCAGAAAAAGTTCAATTGAATTCTTACCGGAGGGCCTCCATCACAGAACTCAATAAGCCCCCTGGCTACCATGTTACCCTGAGAGAGACCGATTATATTGTAACCCTCACTGAGCTCGCTCATACTTTTCACCTGCAAGTCGAAGGATCATCTAGCTGAGAGCTCGTGAAATCAGAAATTGAGAGGTAAAAAGCAAATAAGTTACAGACAGTTGAGTTGAATCACCTGCTCACAAGCAAGCTCGGTCTACAAAGACAAGAATTACGGTGAGCAGTTAGTACGTTGTATGCAGAAAGAAGCATCACAAGCAGTAAGCAGTGATAGTCACCTGTTTCGTAAAGGGCATCAACCAAGAATCCCACACCCCATTACCGATTTCTCTACACAAAAGGAAAGTTAGGAACTTGGAAATACAAAAAAAAAAACGAAAACAAGAATCACTTAGGAACTTCAAACAGTATTAAGCTTCTCAAGTTTGCTAATTCCCTAAATAAATCCTCAGATTTCTCTGCTTAATATGGCAAACAAATACTGTTCCAGGCATCATTAAAGTCTGCTAAATGCTAATTCTTTCCTTCTAGATCAACAATGTAGAGTCAATTAACTCCAGTAAAATAAATGTCTATCTATTCAATGAACCAGAACATACATGCAATATCCAGGTGAACCTGACCAATTGCTAAGAACCTGAGTGAATTCACTAATTCCTCCATTACTGCATTTATCAGATATTCCTGAAACACATGAGAATATTTCAAAGTTTGTAACTTGAAGCAACTAAAGTTTCAAGAAAGTATAATTAGGGGCATCATAAGTCCTGAAATGTCTCCAAACAAACATTGGGAATCACAAAAAGCATAAAGATTCAAGCTTTACTTCAATACTGTACTGATTGCCAGAAAGTAGGAAAGCTTTAAGAGCAAAGAGAAGAGGAACAGAGACTAAATTACCATGGAAGACAACAAAGGGCAGAGCAGATGTGCGTGTTTGGCGCAGAGTAGTGAGAGTGAGAATGAATATGAATGTGAATATCAACTTCATCTTGCCAAAGATTGGCTGCTGGGTCTAACTACGCCACTGCTAAAGAATTATATATGGATGTGGTTCGGAAAATATAATAATGTTTGACTTCATCGTGGAACACGATACTCGATTGATTTAAACCCAGAAATTTTAATACTCCCAAAACCGTGCAGAGGGTAGATGGAGAAACCGGACTGCAAGGGTAGTTGGTGACTTCGTGATTGGTGAACATGTGAAGTAATCTAGTACTGTACAAATTATATTTGTTTGAGATAAGTTTTTTTTTTTTTTTTTTCCTTTTATATAAAAATTTAGAGTGAATGTGACAGTTTGAAACAGTCTTTTATTGGAACATTTACAAAATTTGAAAATTTTTTGGTTCCAAAACTTTCACAATTTGATTTGACAGAATAGTAAAAAGTTAAATCACAATAACTCAACGGTCCATTAAATAAAAAGATTAATATATAGTGCTCTCAAGGATCATAGTTTTAAACTTCAAATTATATTTGTTGTCTTTAATTCATTTGATGGGAGGAAAAAGATTAAAGGGGATATGTTATTCAACCCTGTTGGAGAAGTTCAAGTGGTCGACCAATCAACATTTAGTTTTGTTTCTAGAGACGTGGATTTAACGAGAAACTTTGATCAATTAGTGCTGGTGAAGATCTCGTGTGCAAACCACAGTAGAATTTAGAATCATTTGGACAACTCGAGATTCACTTCATGAGCCAAATATAAATATAAAAGGTTGGCAAATCAGGAAATTGAATACAAATTTGATCATAAATCAAGAGTCATCCAAGTCTGCATAAGGTGTGTCAAGCATCTTCTTCATCTTCATATGCATCTGCAATTGCTCTAAAACCAAATAAATTTGCTTCAAATGAGGATGTATCTTGTCACCAGATACAAATTCCCAAACCTTACTATTTACTTCAATCAAGCTGCAACCTACCTCTTTCTTTGCCCCTTTTTCCCTCATTAATCCCTGGATTTCTTTCACATCTTTCCATCTTCTCTCTTTGGCATACAAATTCCTCAGCATAATATAGTTCCCATCATTCCATGGCTCCATTTCCATTGCTTTATCTTTCACCTTCTCTGCCCTACTCACATCCTTCGCATATCCACAGGCAAACAGAAAAGAACTCAGAATTATCCCATTAGCCTCATATGGCATGCTCTCCATCAATCTTTCAGCTTCTTCCAAGCATCCTGCCCTTCCCAACAGATCTACCAGACAACCATAATGTTCGATCTTGGGAGTGAGCCCATATTTCTCTATTGCTTTAAACCATTTCTTCCCTTCTTCAACCAAACCGCCATGGTTACAGGCTGACAGAACACCAAGCATTGTTATGCCGTTGGGCTTGCATCCACTGCTTGTCATTTCTGAGAATACCTCCAGTGCTTCTTTAGCGCAACCGTTTACTGCTAATCCATTTATCATGGCATTCCAAGTGGACACCTCTTTGATCTGTATTTCGTCGAAATAGGTCATGGCTTTCCCTATTTCCCCACACTTTGCATACATATCAACCAGCGCAGTGCAGACGTTTGGGTTTCTTTCCAGCTTTTTAGCCTTCACGAGCTGGTGAACCCGGATGCCCAAGTCTAAAGCTCCCAGTTCAGCAATGGCGGGAAGTATGCTAACGACTGTAACGTCATCCAGAAACAACTTAGTCCTTGTCTGCAACTCATGAAACAACCTCAACGCCTCGTGTGGTTGTTTGTTCTGGCAATACCCACCAATCATTGCATTCCAAGAAGATATGTTCTTCTCCGGCATCATGTCGAATAGCAGCCTTGCTTGATTGATATTGCCTAAAGTGCAGTACCCATCAATCATACTGGTCCAGGACACCACAGTTCTATCTGGCATTACACCAAACAAACTCTCAGCCGACTTCATATCTCCTCGCTTCACACAAGCATCAATCATCAGATTAAACGCAGCAGCATCTTTCTCTGGAATCAAATCAAAAAGCTCCTCCGCAATACCCGTATCCCCACACTTCAAATACCCTCCAATTAGAGCAGTCCAGGCCACAGAATTCCTTACAGTCATTTCATCGAACACCTTCCGCGCTAGATGCATGTCCCCAAGCTTCCCATACATATCAACCAGCGATGTTGCCACATACAGATTCGAGACAAACCCGGTCTTCAGCGCATGATTGTGTACTCCCAGGCCATCCCAGAAAGCTACTTTCCTCAAGGCACAACACTTCGCCAAGCTCGAAAATGTGTAATTGTCAGGCTTAAAACCCGTATTTCCAATCAAATGTCGGTACAGAATCATTGCTTCGACGACATGTCCCGTATCCAGATACGACTTTATCATGCTGTTGCAAAGGAAACTGTCATCCTTCCGGGGACTAACGTCGAACACGCGGCGGGAGTGGTCGATTCCGGCGATTGGATCAGCGGAGGAGAAGGCGGTGATGAGTTTGGTGAGGTTGATGTTGGTCTCAAGGTTGTGCCGGAACATAAAGGCGAGAATTTGAAGGAGCGTCGCCATGGTGTTTTTCCTCGTACGGAGGAGAGATAGACATCTTCTCTCTAGCGTGCTCCATTGTCTTCTGCTTCCTTCTTCACTCATTGACACCTAAATGCAGGTAATCAACTCTGTTTAATTGAAGCAAGATGGAGGGAGATTCAAACCGTATGCTTTACTGGTAACATTGTCCGGGGGCATTTTGGTAATTTTTCTGTTCGATCTTCAAATTAATCAAAACTCGTTGGATTGCACATGTTATATTATATGCTCAACACATACAACTCCTAAATACGAATCCCCCAATAAAAGACTCAAAAATATATTTCCCGAAGAAAAGAAGGGAAACTCTGAATTTTTTTTTTTTTACATATGACATTTGGGATCGCAAAATTTAACTCTTACTCGAGAAATGTCAACTTAGAGCTCTTTAACAAAATGTATCCCTGAAGTTCCTCAAATGCTCATGTTAAAATTTTCTTGATTTAAAGGTTTTCAACAAGCTATAATGGGGCTACTCAACTCAAGTGAAATCCAAATGCTCAATAATTTCAAAATGCATCTGCAGATCTGGAGGCAAGTTACCAAAATACATTCTTTCACGAATGTATAACTTCCCCATGTTCTTGTGAGCTGCTCCTTTAAGAAGCCGAAGAAGTTCGTCTTTTTCTCTCCGGATCCAGCTTCGTCTGCCATCGTTCCACTGTCTGGGGGTCCCATGGAGGAAAAAACGAATGCCCGGTGCTCCTTGCCTGAGTCGACCCGACATTTTATCAATCGTGTCTTGGTTGGTGAGATATGCTCCTTCAGTGTTCAGACCAACATCCACATAATGGAACTCGGCTATGCTGTTTAGAAAGCTTTCTTTAGTAGTGGGCGTGATCTCATCCTGTTGCTGTGTAGAAAATCCACTCGTCGCATTCTTGTTTGCTTGGTCTTTATCTTCAGGGGGCGGGGCTGGTGAGAAAGCAAGCTCGGTAACTAGCTGGTTAAGTACCGTACCGCCCTTACTAAACCCGAGGAGTATTGTCCGAGGCTTGTGAGAATACGACGTAGAAGCCTCAGCAAAAGAAGGTTCTTTCCGCTTCCCTGCAGTGGCATTTTTTGCCTGTGATAAATTTCCCCACCATTCATATAGTTAGATCTAACTGTTGAATGCTAAACTGAAAGCCAGAAATGAGAACTATAATTATAAAACAGGAACCATCCGAGGTAATTTCATGACTATGAGGAAAAAACAGACATAAATGCATTATGCATACCAAACAGCTATCAGCTAACAGCTAATTTACCAAACACTTTTCTACAACAACTAATGTTATCAACTAGTTATACCTTCTAATTAACACAATCAGCTAACAACCATTTACCAAACAGGGCCATATGCAACCTTAACATTGTTTTCAAATGGCTGTTTCAGAGCCTGAATCCATGATATGAATAATGAGCGAGCACTAGTCGTTACAGCAAGACTAAGAACTAAGATGGGTGAAAGTTAATTCGGAAAAGGTCCAAACCAAAAGAAAAAACGATCTGAAATAGATTTTGGAATGACAGAAACAAAATGTGGATCCTTATAGTAAACTAATCAGAAACAGCCATTTCAACCATTATTCTAGTCGCCTAACACTTGAAAAATGCATCGTTCTGTTACCAATTTGTGAGATTAAACATAAGGTGCATTATCAATGACATTACCTCTTTCAGGCAATTCCACAAGAGCAAGATAATTGATGAAGAAGCCGGGAATTCCATGGAATCATAAACTTTGGGCTCTCCATATTCATTAACGGAAGGGATGAAGTCGCTGTAAACACCAAAAGGGCCATTAAATACAGGCGCCTCAACGACCCAAGCATTGATGGAATTCCCAAATTTAGAAACCAAAATTTCAGCAACTCTCTTCAAATCTGATAGCCTCTCAATCACAGGATTCCCCGTCCCTTCAACTCGATCTCCATTGAAAAATATAGCATTTGCAACAGGTACCTAACCATCAGCACCAACTCAACATGAACAATTAAACATATCTAACACTTTTTACAACCAAATCATCAATTTTCCTCACAGATTCAGTTCTTCATACAAACATGTATTTCCAACTAATATAGCTAAATTTCATGGCCTTTTTTGACGGACATTTCACAGAAAGATCAGTTGTTTAGAAACTTGTTATTCTTTTGAGCTGAAATTACAGTGTATAGGAATCAAGAGAGCTATTTTATTTCCATAAAATGAGAAACTTGATGGTTTTGATGAAACAGACCGATCGAATACAAGTTAAGATGAATGGAAATTCGAAGGGGAGAAGAAATTACTGTGAAGGTGTTGGTAGAAGGAGAGAAGCGGAGAGACGCCGCAACTCTGTAGTACGTTGTGCCGCTACGTGTGTACAATGGCACCTTCAGGATTCCGCTCCAGCGATCCATGAAAGAAAATGGATTCCCTCCAAATAACCGACGAAGAAGAAGAAGAAGGTCTAAGTCGGATCGGGTTCGGTTGTTTGGCCCGTTTTTATTTGAGACTAATTGATTTTTTTTAATTTTTTTTGGGGGGTCAGGTTTAACATTATGTAAAAAAAAGTAATAAATTGTGCTCACCGAAAAAAAAAGTAATAAATATTTATCTACTAAATTAATTAAAATTACTAAAGATGAGTTTACCTAAAAATTATCTATATATTTTATTTCATAACACTTGTAAAATAAAGAATATCCTAAGTATCTTGAATGATGAGTTCATTCGAGTCATCGAGCTTATCAATTTTAGACTTATTAAATTAATTTTTTGACCCTAACGCTAAAAATTGTCAGCCTTATCGGGTTAACCCATCGATTTCAGACTAAAATTGATATCCCTATCACTCTCTCCCCCTTCCCCGTTTAATTTACGCTGTCTAACATTATAATCTTTTTTAGGTGTACTTAAAGTTTCTAGTGTCAAACACCGTGACTAATCAACTCGTTGAACTGTAGATACTTCTATTAGGTGTAACAACTGGTCTGAAAATTTAAAGCTACTCCATACCCAAAGAGAAAGATCGAACCCTTGACGACGTTTGGTTAAGTAACCATTATACTCTTTAATTAACATTATAGTTAATTCCAGTAATCGTCCTCCACCTATATTGTTTTTCCAAAATTAGTCCTCGATTTTTAATTTGGACACTTTACATCCTTTGACTTTCAATTTCTTTCCAATTGAGTTCCTTTCGTCAGATTATGGTAAATTGGACTTTAAATGAAAGGGTAAAGTAGTCATTTCATCTGCCTAATATATAATTCTTCGTATTTATTCCTTGTATACGCGACTTCGAACATCAGATTCACTTAATTGCTTAATCCCTAATGGAATTTTGTTCTTCAAGTGGATTTAGGGATAAACAATTAAGTGAATTTGATGTCCGAAGTCGCGCATACAAGGGAGAAATACGAAAATTATATATTAGGCAAATGAAATGACTAGTTTATTCTTTCATTTAAAGTCCAATTTACCGTAATCTGACGAAAGGACCTCAATTGAAAAGAAATTATAAATCAAAAAACGTAAAGTGTCCAAATTAAAAATCAAGAACTAATTTTGAAAAATCAATATAGTCGGGGCCATTGCTGGAATTAAGTTCTTTTTTTTTTTTTTTTTTGGTAGGGATTAAGTCTTTTAACATTATAACCTTCATTCAACAGCCGCCAAAATATACGATTTTGAATTCATGTTGGGTCAAGCCACTAAACCAACATAACCCATGCATGCATATCTGGCTTATTGTTCCACTTATTAGTCACAAAACCTATAGTATATCATCCTCATACATAATATTCGTTATCTATATATCAAAGCAAATTTGTTCCAGAAAGCACACCAGTAACTGTAGCCTAGAAGAACTGAAACCGTTCTAGTGCATGAATATTTAGATAATTGGAGGATGAAAAAGACATATGTGCAGTCATATAAAGACAAAGGAGGCTGTAAATTAACTCTTTCTTTGGAGAAGATAATATATTTATTAGATCGATTCTTGAAAGCGCGAGAAGGCTTGAATTGAATTTGAATCAGATGGGACATTTAATGCTTTCTGCAAATATTTCACTATTCATTTAATCCATATATTATTCCATGCCAGATCCGCAAAGAATTTAGTAGGTCAAAGAAAGCTCGCTACGACTTAATTAATTAAAATATCAAATTTTATTTTAATTTTGTTTATATTTTCTTTTGGAGATTGTCATTATTTGTTTATTTATTTATTTATTTAATAATAATAATAATTATTATTATTATTATTATTATTATTATTATGATGATTAATTCCATCAAAGGTCCATTGTCTTTAGTGACAATTTCAAATTTAGTCTCAGACTATTGTTTTTGCCATTTAACAACCCAGATTATTATTTTTTGGACATTTTTAGTCCTCATGATTTTTTCTATTTTTAATAAGGGCATTTTTGCCTTTTCATATTTTTCATTTGTTATTTTTTCAGTTTCAATCGGTTTAATTGGTTTAAAACTTTACTAAAAATTGATTGAAAAATATTATTACTACAAATCAGAGGTTACCTAAAGTTCTAAACCGATAAAACCGGTTTAAACCCGAAAAATATAAAAAGACAAAAATGTCCTTACTAAAAATATAAAAATCATGAAAAGGACTAAAAGTGTCAAAAAATAATAGTTGTGCAATTTTAAATGACAAAAAAGATAGTCTTGGACTAAATTTAGATCGGAATTGCCACCAAAGACAAGGGATCTCGGGTGGAATTAACTCTTATTATTATTATCATCATTAAAAAATGTAACCACAATCTCCAAAACTGTATACAATGACTAATTTCTTTCATACTACATATATATTTATTTTAAACACTCATGATTCTTTACAAGTGACAAAAATTTGTAATGAGCATGTCTACTCTTGATTTACCAAAAAAAAAAAAAAAAAAAAAAAAAAAAACTAGAACTACTACTTAAAGTATGATATGGGTGAAGCCTGTATTGTAATCCTAACCAGCAAAAGACAACAAAGAAGTAAAAGAACCTAAATTGCCCATAGTTGACGGAATCAAATAAAAAAATTCAATAAACAACTTACATGCAATGTTACCTTACAACACCACCATCTGGGTTTCGATCCTACGTCAGCTATGCCATTGACAGCTGCAGAACAGCTGCGTCTTTTATTTCAGTCTTGTTCATTTAATTTTATTCCTAGATTAGACAATTATTTAGTCCATACTTTAGCTTCTACTGCTTTCCAGCAACCTGTTGCTATGTACTAGGATCTTCTCCCACCTGACATTTTATCGACTTATTTATAATGAACTACCACATATTAAAAAAAAAAAAAAAAAAACCTTACATGCAAAGTCACTTAGAACTTTGTGGTTACAAAAATATGCCTCATAATTTATCTGATCTAAGCACTAAATCTTTAAGACAATTAAAAGCCGCAAATGACCTTTGACGTTGAGATGTAATATAATCCCTTCTAATATGGGATTTGGTACCCAATCCAGTCAAAGAACCTGCGCGACTAGGGATAGTAAAATGAGTACGTGTGTATAGTGGACCCGTGACCCGTCAATGAAAATGGCTTCTCAATCTGTCACTTAGTACTATTGCATAAAAAAAAATTGTTTTTATATAAAGAAAATTTGGAGTAAAATTCTATGAAATGTTCACAAACGTAAAAAAAAATTCCACAAAGGCTGGTAAATTATGCAAATTTATTTACTTTCACTTTGTGAATCTTTTCTTCCTTTCAACAAATTAAGCATTGTTCCACCTTTCTTTCCCTACATTTGAGCCAAAAACAAAAGCATAGATGAACAAAAATATAGGTCCTCTTGGTAAAATGTTAACCTATCAACCAATTTTAATTTATTTGACCACTATTAATTATTTGACTTGGTTAAAAAAATCAATATAAGTGTTTAGTCAATTAACTTTTTGTAACTTTAAAATTCTAAAATTCAAAAAGCTACTCAAAACAATTTTTTTCAATTAACTTTTAAAAAAAATAAATTATACCAAATAGCTATGTGCTAACAGCTAATTTACCAAATACCTTTCTAGAATCAGCAAATTGATCCTTTACACCATGTATCCATATAAAATTGTCTATTATATTTTCTTCTACTGCTATATGGAAATAGGAAAAAAAAAAGGAATATATAATACGCAAGTGTATGCGTCATGCATATGTAAGACGACTGCCAGCAGCCTAGCTATATATATAAGCGGCCTTGCCATTCATGTTGCAACACGATTGAAAACCTGGCGGCCGACAAAATATTTTCGATCATAATCTGAGAACGACAAAGTTTGTTGCGTACTAGAATTTTCATTAGAGATAGCAAAGAAGAGAAAATGGAGTTTACGGCGATGGCGTCGTTGGAATATGACCTTGGAATTTTTGATTCAATTAACCATCTCCTCTACCACCACTCAGACTTACCGGAGTTTATGTTTTCCGGTACCGGAAATGGGGCGTCGTCGTCGGTGGGAGACTCCGGGGACGCTTCTGAGGAGGTGGTGGGGGCGGGGAACCAGGCGCCGCCGGAATGGAAGAGATATCGGGGGGTGAGGCGACGGCAATGGGGGAAGTTCGCGGCGGAGATAAGGGATCCGGCGAGGGGAGGCGCGAGGCGGTGGCTGGGGACGTATGTAACGCCGGAGGAGGCGGCTCTGGCTTACGACCGGGCGGCGTTCGAGCTGCGGGGCACCCGAGCTTTGCTGAACTTTCCCGGGCTAGCGGCTTCCGGCATTCCGGAGCCGGTTAGAGTGAAACGTCAAAAGCCAAAGCGGCGTGCGCTTCCACCTTCCCCGCCATCGCCGTCGTCATCTTCATTGGAAAATGGCGGCGCCTCAAAGAAGACGAAAGTGAGTGTATTAAACAGCCTCGCCGCCGCAACCGCCAAGTTGGGTTCTCAGACCATGCTAGAGATGTTTCAGAAGGACAATTCATCAGTGTCCATTATTGACACCCAAGTTGATGTAGAGTATCTCTGTTTTCCAGCAAATTAACTTTGTTTCTGTTTTTGTTTTTGTTTTTTTTTTTTTTTTTAATTTGTTTTTAATAAAGTTATGTTATTATGTTATTTGGAAAAAATAATAATAAGAGTAAAATTCTAGGGTATGGTGCATATATTCCAAGGGCCCCACAGGCCACACCCCAATCCGACAGAACATTTGAGGCGCACTTTTAATATAATCCCACATTGCCACTGTCGGGGCCGAGGTTCATACCTACACTGAACCATTTGAGCTAAGTTCGTGTGAAAATATCTTAAACATTCTTATCTATGCAATGGTAAGTTTAAAAAAAAAAAAAAAAACTTGAGTTGAGATAACTTAGATTTAACCAAATAATCATATTAACTATAATAAAAATAATAACATTAAAGTATGATAATCATGTTTATTCACGCTTTTTGGAACAAGATCATATTTCTTATTTTATGATAGACAAGATTAGAAATACCATAAAATTATAAATAGTGATTATGATTTATGGTCAGACAATAAGTTTTTTATTCTTTGTGGCTTCTATATGGGATAAATTTAAAAAAAAAAAAACTGAAAAAGAATTAAAGATGTTTTTATTTAAGGACATGTGAAGATGGTTGATTGGTCAAGTGATTTCAGGTGTGGTTTATGTTGTAGTTTGTTTGATTTGACATTTACTTGTAGAGTTGTTTATTCTTGAACCGTTGCCTTTTACTTGTGAGATCTTTCAAAGCATGAGTATGATCAAGAATCTTATAGTAACCCATCCTGGGCCCACTTGTTCCAAATTAAGAAGATAATGAGCATAAAATACTACTTTAACTCTTTAATTTTACTCTCGATTTTTATTGACGATCCTTCAATTCACTTTTCATATAGACATTTGCTTGAGACTCATAATAAAAATAACTTATCAATAATTACTACGTCAAAAAGTAAAAATGAGAAAATAAAAATTAAGAGTCCATGCAGTAAATTTTTTTTATTCTCCTCACTCTATCGAGATGTGAGAAAATTTTTAAGTCCCTCTGAGTGGCTTTAGTTGCTTGCAATCCCCAATCATGGGTGACAATTAAACAATAGTCAACACTTGTATCCCTAAGCATAACCTTCGGCACAAGTGCCGGCTAGATTGGATTTTTAATACAAGAGGATCAGAAGTTCGAATTTTGGACCTCTCTTTAAGAGATGAGAATGTATGATTACCACCTATGCCTTGGCCCGACAGAGTATGTAGGAGGAACAGACATGGCCAAATGCCGATGTGCACATCCCCACACTACAGCGACAGAGTTCCGAACCTTTAATTTTTCTCTAAATTAAAATATTGTCTATTAACCACTGATCTAAACACGTGCAGAATTTTAACACAACTCAAAAATACAAGAAGCAACTATATTGGAACAAGTCACCAATTATTATTATTACTAGATTTTTACGCGCTTTGCGCGAATGAGATAATGCCCAATGATTATTTTTAAATAAGTATTTCAAAGTATATCAACGCAATATTATATCGGAGATGTTCATGCATATGTAAATAAATATTGAATTTGTTTATTTAAATTGGTAATTCAAAATATATAAATGCAAGATAATATTTATTGAATTTTCTAATCGATATTTAGTAGTGGTAATTTTCCCCTACATGTTTCATGCATTGTGAGATGTGTGTCGTAGGTTATCATGTGAAAATATTGAGCAAAATATTAATATTTATTATATTTGTATAAAATACTTGGTAAATAAATATATATATAATGTATTTTGTATTATAACTTTGATATTTAATTACAAGATAATGTAAAAAGAAGAATATAATAAATTAATAAATTTGAAGGTAATGAATCTTTGAATTGTAGAAAATAAAGATAATATAACTAATGAAATTATATCTATTTTTAAATTTTTTTATAATGAATAATTTTTTTAAAAAATAAATGCGACATCTAATTCTAAATTAATTAAATGCATATGTATTATTTTTTGTTGTAGCTACTACTTTATTTAGTTTAAGAGCAATAAAGTGGGCAAATTATGCTATGGAACCGTGTCCACCTTGCAAGGTGGACATGCATATCGGAGATGTTCATGCATATGTAAATAAATATTGAATTGTTTATTTAAATCGGTAATTCAAAATATATAAATGCAATATAATATTTATTGAATTTTCTAATCGATATTTGGTAGTGGTAGTTTTTCCCTACATGTTTCATGCATTGTGAGATGTGTGTCGTAGGTTATCATGTGAAAGTATTGAACAAAATATTAATATATATTATATTTGTATAAAATACTTGGTAAATAAATATATATAATGTATTTTGTATTATAACTTTGATATTTAATTACAAGATAATGTAAAAAGAAGACAATGGACAATGCAGTGAATATAATAAATTGATAAATTTGAAGGTATTGAATCTTTGAATTGTAGAAAATAAAGATAATATAACTAATGAAATTATATCTATTTTTAAATTTTTTATAATGAATATTTTTTTTTTAAATAAAGACATTATAGACATCTAATTCTAAATTAATTAAATGCATATGTATTATTTTTTGTTGTAGCTACTACTTTATTTAGTTTAATAAGAGTAATAAAGTGGCGTATATACTTTTTATCAACAATAATGCAATCATTGATTTTTTTTTAAAAAAAATACATACAAAAAATATTAATGCAAAAGTATAATTGAAATATTAAGTTTTTTTCTGATCTAAATAATCAAAAGAATATTAAGTTTTTTTCTGATCAAATGATTTTTAAAGTTCTTGATTTATAATCTTTGATGCTTAACTTTGAATGTTATGTATTTAGTCAGACTAATTATTTGAACAAAGTTTATGTTAAATTTTATATTATATATATTTTAAATATATTTTTAACATATTCGTAGTATATGTTTAACAATTATGCCAACTCTAATTGGGATGTGGTTCGAAACTAAGACTTTTCCTATAGAAATTAATGTGTAAGTTAAAATAATAAATACTTAACGGAATATTCCGTTACTAAAGTTTATGCTAACGGAATTTAGGTTATTTAAGGGAAGAAAATAATATAATAGAGGGTAAATAAGGAAAATCAATAAAAAATACTAAAATAAAAATAATTTGAATCATTCATTTTAAGAAACAATAGCATAATATGAACCATTCATTTTAAGAAACAATAGGACCGACATTTTTTTGTTCCAGTTAAGGGGCTAACATTATTGGCTCTTATTAGAATTGTAGATAGATAGATTATTATTTTGAATACATTAAGTTCAGCTTATTATGTCAGGTTAACTCTAAAACTCGTAACTCGGTGCACGAGTCACTGGATGAAGTAAATCGTGAATCTTGTAAACAGCTTCTCAGTCAGTTCATGTCGTTGACTATGAGCACAAGCGATCTCATTTCTACACTTTCACTAATCTAAGAAACCCAATCTCCGATCTAAGGAGTTTAATTAAAGGTCCAAACTCTAGTCAAGAAAGCCCTAACTCCAAGAGGTGGGAGTTGAACAAGTCACCAAATTTCAACACCATATTTATTTCATTCTCTTGTTTGAGCTGGATGAGATAGACTAACAAAGGAGACTATAACATTTCGGACAACATACGCATTTGATTCTAGAAAGCAACAAGCAAGAAGGCTGAATTGAATGAGATGAGACATTTCACATCTCATATATTCTTTCTGCAAATATCTCAGTAATTAAGTACAATGAGGTCTATGACGGTCGTATTCCACCATAGCCATATCGGGAAAGCAGTCTGCAGTCAAAGAAAGCTCACTAGTAATAATTCATTCTATTTTTTATCATCGATTTATAAGTGTCAGTCCACTTTTAATCATTTTTTATTAGAACATTCATATTTGGTTCTAGTAGTATTGTGGCATGACCATTTTTTATCCTCCGTCAATAAAATCGTTGAAATGTTGTTAAATACAAAGGCATTTCGATCATTTTTATACAAAGTGAGTTGACTCCGTTATATTTTTATATTTATTTTTTTGAAAAAATTCGCATTGAAGACCGAAATGACTTTGTATTTAACGACATTAAAACTGTTTTGTTGATAGATGACCAAAAATAAAATGAAATGTAGATATATTATGATAAAAAGGACTAAAAGTGACCGGACTGTCACATATAAATCTAGGACAAAAAATTGAATTAACTCTTAATTAAATTTTTATTTTTATAATTAACCACGTGATTCTAAATTTAACCTCAATTTGATATTTATCTTCAACAAATTTGTCATTTTTAGTCCTACTTTAGGAATTTCTTTATTTTTTTACCCGCACAAGCTTAGGTCAATGATTTAGTGGGCAGTATTTAGGAAAATAGACCAAGGTTTGAACTTCGGCTTGCGACAGTGCGGGAATTATGTCCAAAGTGGACAAATTCTTTGTATGCACTGACATTTAGCTTTATCTACTGAATCATTGAGTTCACCGTGATTTACATGCTCTGTCCTGCCGTTGGATTGGGAATTTAACCTTTTGGGAAGGTAACGGGGCAAGACGAGATTCCCCACAGATTTGACTTTTTCTTGTACTGGTATGCGGAAAACTTTAGATGTATGCGTCATGCACATTTATGGAAGACGATTGCCAACAACCTTGCTATATATATAGGCGGTCTTCATCTTCATCTGCAACAAGAAAATCATGGCGGCCGACAAAGTATTTTCATAATAATAATAATTGATTATATTAGCTAGAGAGAGTAAAGAAAATGGAGTTGACGAATATGTCGTCGTGGGAATACGACGATGACCTTGCAATTCTTGATTCCATGGACCATTATCTCCTCCCGCCGGAATTTATGTTTTCCGAGACCGGCAGTTTGAGCTTCGGAGGCACCGGAGATGCGGTGGCGTCAGTGGAGGACTACTCCGGGGAAGCAACAAAGGACGATTCTGCGGCGGTGCGGGTGCCGCAGACGACGGAGTGGAAGAGATACCGGGGAGTGAGGCGACGGCATTGGGGGAAGTTCGCGGCGGAGATAAGGGATCCGGCGAAGGGAGGCGCGAGGCGGTGGCTGGGCACGTACTTAACGGCGGAGGAAGCCGCTCTGGCTTATGATCGAGCCGCGTTCGAGCTGCGGGGCTCCCGAGCTTTGCTGAACTTTCCGGCGCTAGCTTCCTCCGCCGGCATACCGGAGCCGGTTAGGGTGAAACGTCAGAAGCCAAAGCGGCGTTTGCCGTCGTCGTCATCTTCATCGGAACATGGCGGCACCTCAAAGAAGACGAAAATAGATGTATTAAACAGGCTAGCCGCCGCAACCGCCAAGTTGGGTTCTCAGACCATGCTAAAGATCTTTCATAAGTACACTTCGGAGTGAAACACTCTTTATATTATAGACTACGGTGCATAAAAAGGGCCGACCGTAACGGAGTCTGCTTGTTTGGTGTATTAAACACCAACTGACACTATAGTATATCTAAATTGACACTGCAGTTATATCAAAATGATACTGTAGTTATAGTGAAATGAAACTGCAGTGTATATAAAATGAAATTGAATAACATTTCACATATTTGAGCATATATTGTACAATGAAGCTGTAATTATATCAAAATGATCATGTAGTTGTGTTTTAGTGAAACTATAGTGTATATAAAATAAAATTAAATAACATTTTCACATATTTGAGTCTATAAATATCGAATGAAACTATAGTTATATCGAAATGAAACTGTAGTTGTGTTGAACTGAAACTGCAGTGTATACAAAATGACACTGACTAATAGAGTTATTTTTTGCAAAAGGGTGCGAAACGGCGGAAACAAACATGTTTATTTTCATTTAAAAAAAAAAAAAAGAAGACGCGCGATGCATTATCAATTATGCACCGCGATGCATAATATAATTTGCCGGAGTGAAACTAACAGACCAAACTAGTGGATGACAATTTCAATTCCTTCCGAGGATATTCATCTTGTATGGATTGGATTTTTATTTTAGATAATAGTAAGCAATGGGTTTTAAAAATATATTAAATCTTGGTGAATTGAGTTGGATTTGAGTTTTATATACAAAATTTACCTAAAATCTCACCGGACTAGCTAGTATGTAATTAATTATAAAAGTTTCTATAACTGTGTTAACTTTTTACTATTTTTAATTCTAAAAACTAATATTTTTATTTTAAAAAATTAACTATTTAATTATTATATTCGAATATTTTTATTATTTTATGTTTTAATATAACTTGTGAATTTTATTATTTTATTATATGTAAATAATTTAAATATTATTTTAAATTTTTTGTAATAAAATAATAAATGGTGAGCACTCGTAGTAGGTACTCGCACCCGGTGGTATAAAGTGAGTTTTGAAAAAGTCCATTCGATACGAGTCGAAAGTAGAAATGGATGAAAAAAGTATAAAGTGGGGTGGGGTGGAGATGTAGTCCTCACTGACTCGCATGCCCGACCCATGCATTGTCATCCTTAGTAACACGTGAAATGTATCTTAATTCAGGCATTCTTTTCATCCAGGTCACCTCTGGTTAGGCATGTAGTGTAATTGACCAATAGCTTGACACGTACACATATCTCTGTTGATAAAATCTCGGCATGTATCCAGGGACGGAGCCAGGACGGAACAATGCGGGGGGCCGAACTACGATTGAAGTACTAAATTAAATACATTGATATCCCGTTAACATATCTCAAAATAATCATTACATTACAAATTCAATAAAGTTTAGAATAAATTATTTATAATTGAATCTATATTAAATTATTTTGCAATATGCTTTTCAATGCACATTACTTTGCATTGTACGGTTGAAAGAATGAAAACATTCACGCATGTTTTAAAAGACTATTGATTATTTCTTGAAAAACCCTCTTCACAACATAACATAATAGCAATTGTTTTCTCAAATATATATACTACACAATTGTTACATTATTATGCATTTTAAATTAAATACAAAATTTATCACACAACCACAAATTTACATAATTAATCAAACAAATGCACTTGATATCCATGATTTAGAATCAAACAAAACAATTATTTAAGATAAACAATAGAATATGAAACAAAAATTAACCAAACAAGTAGTTATAAATAAAAATAAAAAATAAAAATTAACTTGAAAAATATGCATAGATTTTGTTAATGACAAATTATCTTATTATAACGTATATGCCGCATATATGCATGGTTCTATGCAGAGAAACTAGTAAGTAGGTTAAATGAAATTTAATTTGAATGTGAGTCAACAATATATGGAATACATAATTTGAAATAGGAGAGAACTGAAAAAGTTGAGAAGATGAAAAAATTTATAACTTTACTTGTAAGATTAATTAAGTGGAGGGGGGCCAAATATTTTGAAAAAACAACAAAATTTTAAAATTCTATATAATATTTTTTTAAAAAAATTTAATACATATATAATATTAAAAAATTTTGGGGTGGGGGAGGGGGGCCAAGACCCCCCTAAACATACACTTACCTCCGTCCCTGCATGTATCCACAATTTAGTACTACAATTATACATCTAAGTATTCATCAACCTAGAGTATTACTCTTGGATAATTAACATTATCAAACATAAAATTTGGCAATAAGAATTTCCTTAATTATCAAAGCTCAAACTATATATCCTACATATATTTAATGCTAAGGTTTCATTTGATAATTGCGTAATTACGTATGATGAAATTGTCAACACATGAAAAGAATCATAACCAAATCATTTTTTTTTTTGGTTATTTAATTGACGGGTGGCCCATCAACTAATTAACGCCTACTAGGCTGTTTCCACTCTTACATGGCTTATAAAAAAAAATCAATTCATAATTCCTTAAAAAAGAAAAAGAACTCTGTAAGAAACATCTCGATTATCATATCAGTACCACTAACGCTTGTCCTATACGTATGGCACCTGTTTTGCAAGTCCGAAACAATAAAATATTTGATAGAATATATTGTGAAACATGTGTTAAAACAGGAGCATCTCATATATTAAAATGCGTGCATACATACATAGTTTAATTTGTAATATTTGAACACGTTTAAAATTTGGTCAAATGAGTTAAGCATAAGGAACCTTCATAGTTGAGCATGTAACTATATATGTAGTGAATAAGTCGATTTACACACACATATATAAATATATAATAGTTGTATATAGCTATTTAATATGTAGCTGATGAATAATAAGTCGATGTAAAAAAAGTGTTTAGTAAATTAATTGTTTACATTTAGTTGATTGTATGTAAAATACCATATAAAGGCATAAACATTAATGCTAATTTATTAACTCTTAAATTACTTTTACAACTAAGAAAAAAGTGCAAGGAAACAACAAGGGAGATATAAATGTTAGAGATAGCAAGAGTAAAATTGTCATTTCATAATTAAGGATAATATATCTAAATAAAAACTCTACTCTTTTTAGCTTTTTCTAATTTTGACTTATTGCCCAAATAAATTAATACAGTAAGTCATTTTACAAACACGATATATAGCTGATTGACTAGTTAAATTAGCCAAACTTACAGGGTGTATTCAATGAAGACTTTTATAGTTTTCAAATTTCAAACCCCAAATGTCGAAGCCGGAAAGAGTAATGAGAATAGGACATGCCGTGCAAGAATCCTACCTTACTTTAATTAATAATAATAATCCTAAAAACATGCATAACACCCCAAACCAATTAATACTATGAAAAAAAAAAAAAAACTAACCAAATTACTAAAAAATCCCAAATAGTGCTGATCGAGGAAAAGACAAATAAAAAAATCACAACTACACATGCATCATCACAATATCCACACTTCTCATGTGAGGAAGTGTCAACGAACATTCGAACTTTAATATGTACATATATGTGTGTGTGTGCAAGAGAGAGAGAGAAATAAGCAACATGATCAATAAATGTACTTTGTGTACCAGATACAAGGCAAAAATTTTGGTGAAAAGCTCAAGTTTCGATCTACTTGATAATGTAAAAATAATTGAATAAAAATACACTGTTTCTTATTTCATAAATTAGTGAAAAAGTAATATATCCTTTAAAAATTGAATTCAATCAGTTACTTAATTTAGAGAATGCATATAGTATTCCGTGGTATATATATGATTTAATTATGTATTGTATATATTATAAATATTTGTTTGTATTATTGGAAGCCGAGAGCGTGATGAACATTTGGAATCTTCTTAGAAAATCAGAATATAATAAACAAATGTATAGGCATCTACACCTACGAAGGGGTCTATGCATATAAATAAGCAAAGACAAAACCTTTAATTTGCATCCATCAATCAACACTCATCACTACACACAAAAACAATTTTCAGAAAAACCCTAAAGATCATCAAGTTGATTGAGAAATGAATCAAGAAAATCTCTCAAGCTCCGATCTTTCCCTTCTTGAATCTATAAGCCAACATCTCCTCTATGATTCCAATTTCTCCGATATACTTTTGACCAAGAGTTCGTCCCATGACTTGATCAAGAGTTTGTCCCATGACTTGACTGATCCAGTCGATAGTCATGACTCAAGTTTTGATTTTTTCGATATATTATCGAGGATGAATTCGTCCCATGAATTGACTGATCCAGTCGATGGTCATGACTTAAGTTTCGATTTCTCTGATATGTTATTGAGGACGAATTCGTCCCATGAATGGAGTGATACAACATATAGTCATGACTCAAGTAATATTTCAGAGCCGGGGAATGAGGTGGCGAACGAGGGGCGTGCGGAGGCGCGTGGGTCACAGGCGGAGGGGGACTGGAGGAAGTACCGAGGGGTGCGGCGGCGGCCGTGGGGGAAGTTTGCGGCGGAGATAAGGGACCCAAAGCGGCGGGGATTCAGGATATGGCTAGGGACGTACGAGAAGGCGGCGGATGCGGCATTGGCTTATGACCGTGCCGCGTACAAGATGCGCGGGTCTCGGGCGGTTCTCAATTTCCCGCACCTTATCGGCAACCCCGACGCACCGGAGCCGGTTAGAGTGAAGCCTAGGAGGCGGCTGCAATCTTCGCCGGAGGCGGAGGCGGAGGCTCTCCCCACTTCGCCGCCGTCGTCATCGTCTTCTTCAGTGGAAAGCCTGCAGTCTCCGAAAAGGAGAAAGATTGAGTTAATAAACGCCGTAGCCAAAGCCAATCTCATGAACGCAATTTCTGGAATCCAATTAACTCGGACACAGTCCACTTCTAACTCCTAATTAAACAATTTTTAATTATTATTGTCATTAGTTAAGATCGGTTGAAATATTCCCCAAATTGCCATTAATTCAACGGATGATGTGATTTTTTTTTTTTTTATGTACCCAGAATTTTCAGTGTCCAATACAAAACTAATCCCCTCGTTGAATTGTAGGCACCTCAATGAAATGTCATCGTATATATGAAGCAAATATTTGTATTACATATATACTAAATTCAGTACAAGCTAGGAAATTAAATGATGTCTCAAGAAAATAATCTCTTCATTCCATGCAACTAGCTATTATTTATATGAGTTTACACCATGTCCTATTTGATAAAATAGTTAGCTTAAGAGTCAATTTGACTTGTTTGACCATTATTAGACGTTTGACTTGATTAAACAATCAATATGAGTGTTAGATTAATTAGCGTTTTTGTAATAGCTTATTGCACCAAAACACTAAAAATTCAAAAAGCTAAAGTCATTTTGTATGTAATCAGCTATCCGCTAACATCTAATTTACCAAATATATTTCTACAATCAGCTAATTATCAACTACTCAAACCCACTAATCCAATCAGTTAACAACTATTTACCAAACACCCCACAGTCGTTCTGGTGCGTGTTGCTGAGTTACGTTACGTTACAAGCTAACTTAATATGTTGAAGCTGACTCTATACAGTATAGTGTATGTTGTGCCACCGATAGATGTCAATGTATATACTAACCGTACAGTATTACACTCTAAATTGTACATCTTATTTTTATTAGTTACTCTATAATATCACGCGATAAAACATAATATACACTATTTAATTATATATTATATTCTTTAATGAGTTATGAGAATTTTCAAAGAAGCACATGAAAAAGAAGTGAAATAGGGAATTTCATAACATTTTTATAAAATGATGCTCTCCTCTCACATGTATAATTATATATATTATAGAAATTAAAGATTACACACATATATAAACAACAAATTTGAGGTAACGAGGCATGCATATGTTTACGTGTGAAGATTCCATATGTCTACACTAAGTTCACACTTCACATGCAAGTATAGTACTTTGGGTTCCTCTAATTTCATTTATATATATATATATATATATATATATATATATATATATAATTGTCAGGATCAACATTGTTTCGATAATAAGATGGTGTGCTACGTAACATACTTGCTTTTACTACATACTAAACTAAATCTATAGCTTGAATTGTAATGGAGGTATAACTTTGTTTCTTGTTTGTATCAAACGTCTAGCACTCCGTCAAAAGTTATACGGAGTAGTTATTAGTAGCAAATGCTCAACTTTATTTACTTATATTTGTGCAACAATTAGTGTCACGTTTCAATGGTAGAATGTTGAATTTGACTTTCCAAGCTTTCACCTAACGTTTATTTCGCGGCACTTGTCAGTCTTAGATACAATCAAACGTTTATCACTACACTAAAAGCTATATATCGCTAGTAGTGGAGGTGCGATTTTATTTCTTTATATATGCGTATACGTAGCAATCAATGTCACGTTTCAATGACATGATACTGAACTCACCTCTCTATGCCTCAGTCGTCTAATATTTTTTTATATATACATAACAGGTACGGTCGTGTTACATTTCATCAATTTCACCAATAAGAATATATTAGACAGTTAAACTCAACCTTCCAAACTTTTGTCCAAGAATAATTCTCATTAACCATAATTAATTAATTATCTTCAAATTTACAAAAACTTTATCTCCAATTCTCTCTCGGTCACCCTTCCCAATGTTTTGAAGTACCAATGAATGAAATTGATGAAGAACTACACGACAAACCATAAAGAAACGTTACTGGTCGTGGCTAGCGCCTATGTAGACACGCATACAATGAAACGCTAATGTTACGTTTCTAAAAATGCCACGTGCTCTATTCCTCTTTGTTCAAAACTTGTTGGCGGTGTTATTTATCTGATCTCGTCTTTTCCCAGAACAATAAGTCACCGATATGGGGATAAGGTGATATATATATATATATATATATATATATATATATATATATATATATATATATATATATATATATACCCTATCTTAAGAAATTTTTATTTTTTTTGTTTAAGAAATTTTTATTTTTTTTGTTTTGTTTTAGAAGTTTAATTAGTAGATCTCGGTATAATCGCAAGAAAAGCTTTTACAGCTCTTATATATGAGATTTGATGAAGAGAGTGAATCATAAGATATATTTACATAATTCATATGTTCCTCAATTAGTTGTCTGTCTACAAAGTTAAGTTATTAACATATATAGATTGTTCAATTAATTAATCTATATTTTGAACATAGTTGAAAAAACCCCTATGTTTTGATTTTTGAGTGGATATATTACTATATGATATACTTTTCAAACTTCTATAACTGCATAATTGACCTATATAGATTCTTTTTACCCGAACTAATAATATTTAATAAGGTTTTATCCGCGTTGTTATGACTCACCTTTGACAGAATCATATATAATTATGCATAACTAGTAATAAATAATAATAACCTTTCAAAAAAAAAAAAAAACTAATAATAATAATAATATTATAATAATAGAATTATAAAGCTCTTGCTATCATATTCTATAAATTTTCACGTGGTTGGACGGATCAAGTTTAATTTAAAGAGTCAATTAAGTACAATATCTTACTATCAAAATATAGCGTCAAGTGTTATGCAAATATAAGAAAACAAAATTGCGCTTATTAGTTATAACTTTTAGTATAGCGGTCATCGTTTGATCTGACAGTTTATTGGGTAGTGGTGACTTAGAGAGTGTCGAGCTCAACATTTTGCTATCGAACATGACGATAACTGTCAGATAGAGTATTATGTTTTTAGATATTTATTCAATTTGGACAAAAATATGTATAAAAAGTAATTTATTTATTATAGTTTAAATCTTATTTTCATTATTTAATTATCCATAACATAACTCGATCATGCATGAAAGTTATGATCTAAATATATACATATAGTAAACATTATAAATATTTGTAGGTATTCTTCGAGGAAGCTTGATGAGCATTTGGAATCTTCAAGGAAGCAAATTAATTAAATAAATTATCATATAGGCCGGTCAATAAGCTATAAACAAATGTATATGCCTCTACGCCATTGAAAGGGACAACCATCCATATATATAAGCAAACACTAGCAACCTTTGCATCCATCAACAGTCATCTATCCATCTCTTCATACAAAGAGAAAAAAAAGGGTTTTCAACTTTCAAACCTTAAAAGCTCCGAAGAATATAATGTATCAAGAAAATCTCTCAAACTCCGATCTTTTCCTTCTTGAATCCATAAGCCAACATCTCCTCAACGATTCCGACTTCTCCGATGTACTTTTTAGAATGAATCCTCACTCTGATGAATTCGAAATAATTGAGGAAAATTCACAGTCGGTGGTGGAGGGCTCCGGGCATGCGGCGGCGGACGACGGGCGTGGGGACTGGAGGAGGTACCGGGGGGTGAGGCGGAGGCGGTGGGGGAAGTTTGCGGCGGAGATAAGGGACCCGAAGCGGAGGGGGTTAAGGATATGGCTGGGGACGTACGAGAAGGCGGAGGATGCGGCGGTGGCTTACGACCGTGCGGCGTATAAGATGCGCGGGTCACGGGCGGTCCTAAATTTCCCGCACCTTATCGGCAGCCCCGACGCACCGGATCCGGTCAGAGTGAAGCCTAGGAAACGGCAGCAAACATCGCCGGAGCCTCTCCCCAGTTCGCCGTCGTCTTCCGTCGACGGCGAGTCTCCGAAAAGGAGAAAGATTGAGTTAATAAATGCCGTAGCCAAAACCAATCTCATGAACGCTATCTCTGGAATCCAATTTCGACCAACACTTCAATTGGTACTCAGATAATAAACAAAACCCAAGAAAAGCTCAGGGATTAATTTTGCCCAGAAATTTGGCCTTTTGTAGGCATGAAATCCAACTCCGATACCGTACGTCCACTTATAACTTTAAACAAATTTTAATTACTGTCATTAATATCTATTAGAAATATTTCCCCAGCAAAAGTTGTGATGGCTTTAAGTCGATCCATCTTGTTGGTTGTAATTATTGAATGCGTTGATAGTAATTATTTTTGTTTAATTGTTCTCAATCAAAATGCAGTGATCAGTTCTATGCAAGTTAAAACTCGTAATCAGTGTGAACATAGTAAACTTTGTTTTGTTCCTCACTCTAATAGTCTAGAGAGGTAAATCGTACTAAGAAGATACTATGTGATAGATCGATCAAAAAGAAGTTGACAAAAATTAAACTCGTGATTTTGTACGTTGTAGTACGAAAAACATACTCTATTCACTTGGCCAACCATTTCAGGACAACTTTATTCTTAATATTATTTATATGGTCCATGCTTATGGTTGGGGACGGCAATTTATATCGTGCACTAGCGCGCGCATTGCATTGTGCGCCGTGATGCAAAACGATGTCGTTTTACATAACTGTATAAAAAATACATAAAATTGTATAAATAAATGCACATAATTGAATAAACAAACACACATAACTGTATAAATAAATACACATAATTATATAAACAAATACACATAATCACGTCAATTCTCTACCGCGCCTCCCAAAACGACGTCGTTTTGGAAGGCGTGGGTGCACAATGCTATGTGCGCTATGGTACAGGGTATAACGATTGGTTGGGGACTCTTGCACCCTATTATGGTTTTAATACCTATTATCATGTTTATTTACTTACTTTTGTTATCTCAAATTAAAAATTCAAATCTTTTTATATATGTTTATATATATATATATATATATATATATATATAATTTTAATTTTAATTAATTAATTAATTATTTTGATTCCAATTCTTATTTACTACTAAATAAAGTGACTCTTTTTACTTAAACTCATTACCATTACAAGGCATTTGGTTCTCATTACTATTTTGATTTCAATATTTGATCCACCAAACACACCCCAATTTATAATAATTGATTTTTAAAAAAAATGCGTATAAGCCAACATTATTTTGTAATATAACTTTGATATTTAATTATAATATAACGTAAAAAAAAGACAACATATTGTTATTGTTATTAATTGTTATTGTTATTATATTATACAAATTAGAGAGTAACTAATAATATGGCATATGTTTATGTGTGCGGATTCTATGTCTCCAATAGCTCCAAAATTTCATTAATCATAGTTTATTAGCCTCAAAGTTACTTCAACTTTATCACTAATACTCTAATATGTTATAATTACAGAAATACATACTATAATAATAGTAATAATAATAATAATAATAATAATAATAATAATAATAATAATAATAATAATAATAATAATTAAACGTGGTTGTGTCAGCAATATTCATTTAAAAAAAAAAAAAAGAAAGCTTATGACAGTTGATTCCATGTGATCCCATACTGTTCCCCAGAATAATAATACAAATAATAAAATAATAACTCATCAATAATTTTACTATATGATTATATTTTTTATGTCTTCTTTATTTTTTGTTCTTATACAAATACAATGGATCTATATATTATGTCAGTGATGAGAAAATCGGATAAGTTATTAAACTTGATTTGAAATATTTTTAATTTAACTCAAAACAGTGAAAGTAATTAAGACAATAAATAGTAACAGTCATGAGATGAGAAGAGAGTAAGTGAAATGATTGCACTTAACACGGAGCAAATACACTTATTAAGGTGCATATATAACAATTATTAAGGAGTCGCGACACTTATTATAGAGCGGAGTCATTCTTGTACACTTAAACTTAATTATATGGAGCCGTTGCATTTATTAGACTAAATTAATTAGCCAATGGCTAATATAAATACTAATTAAAGATGAGATCAGAGTGTACGACCACTCACACTAATTAAGCTGATTACAGATGAGCTCTTGTTAGATTCAAATTTATTAAAAAAAATATAGTACCTCGATTGGAGAGAATAATATTTATAAATTTTATACTTGTAATAAATATCATTGAATTGGATCATTTGCATACCCATACATGCGACATACATACGATGTACGTCAAAAAATAATATCAATAATTGAACAACACATGATTAACATCACCTACTGTTTTAAACAAATATATATCTGTCATCCATAAAATTAATATATTGATGGCATATTATTATTCTTATTATATTACGTATTGTGTTTTGTTTCTATTATCCTTTTTATAAGTAAATTAGTGATAAAGGGAAGACAACAAAGTCAGGTAGCACATTTCCTCCATTTAAAAAAAAATATTTATATTTTTAAAATAATTTTCCAAGAGAATCTTATTACAGTATGTAGGGCTATCTTTTTCAATATACAAATGAATCTCGTCTCAGCCGTCGATATTATATTCTCTACCTAGTAACTAAACCTCAGTAAAAACAATGCAATCTCTTTGGGTCAAAATTAAAACCAGTGTTATTACCAAGCTAAGCTAACTTTCCGACTAATTCAGTTGAATCTCCAACCTCAAAGGTCCCCACATCCAAGTCTGACATAGCATTTAGAAGGATGTAAATCACGGTGACTCAATGACTCACCAGACAGGATTAAATACCGGTACGTATGCACAAGGGATCTGTCCACTTTGGACATAATCTTTACTGTCACTGTCGAAGTTCGAGCATTGATTTCTTCTCCTAAATACCAATGAGCTAACCCCGTACCGATAATTCTTTCTTATATATAATTATTATTAAATGATGCGTTGATAGAGACAATGAACAAAACTTATGAATGAAACCCTATTTTAAAATTTTGACCTTATAAAAGTGACTACTATACTATAACCCTAATTAAATAATGAGAATTAAATTATTCACCAACAATGAAAATATATGATGAATATACCATATATGATGCAGCCATACATACATATATACATACACATACATACACGTATATATACACACATATCTACCTAGAGCATATAGATCAGAGTGTCCCCTTGATGACTCGAAAGCCAACCCACAAATAAGAACATATAGCCTCGAGGAAATTAATAAAAGAAAAGAATGGAACCAAAAGAAGAACAAACGGAATCGCCGGAGTTGGAGTTGACATTCTCCGACGACGATCTACCGACTCTCGACATTCTCCTTAATCACTCCGAACTTTCGGATTTGCTGATGTTGTCGGACGCGAATATTGCGGGGGCATCCAATCATAGTTCTCCGTCGCCGCCGCCGAATGCAGCGCCGAAGAAAACGGCGGCAGCGGATAGTTCGTCTGCGGATTGGAAGCGGTACCGGGGCGTGAGGCGGCGGCCGTGGGGGAAATTCGCGGCGGAGATAAGGGATCCGGGGAGGAAAGGCGCGAGGATTTGGCTGGGAACGTACGAAACGCCGGAGGATGCGGCGTTGGCTTACGACCGCACCGCCTTCAAGCTGCGCGGCTCGCGAGCTCTGCTCAATTTCCCTCTCCTAATCGGATCAAACATGCCGGAACCGCATAGAGTGAAGCCCCGGCGGCGCGCGCGTTCCACGGAGCCGCCGCGCTCCTCTTCCACTTCTTCGTCACCGCCGTCGTCATCGTCATTGTTATCATCCCCACCTTCGTCATCGTCATCATTACCCCCGTCATCGCCGTCGGCGTCATTATCGGAAAACGGCGGCGCCAGAGATTCTCCGAGGAAGAGAAAAATCGATTTAATAAACGCAGTAGCAAACACCAATAGTTTGCTGGGTAGCCAAACTATGTTGAAGATGTTCAAATTGTGCAAATTCTGATCACCCCATTATTACCTTAAACTTTTATCAAGAAATGTTTGCAGGTCCTTCTTCATCAAGTATGTTGCACATATTTTACCTATGATCCATTAAGTAGAATTTGCATTTTTCACACACTTCGAATAATAGTTGTGGATTTCAATAATTTTAATTTACTGAAAAATCTACAATAGTTACTCAAATAATGCGTGATTTCAGTCAATCTCCTGATACTAATCGACAAATGACTACAGGAAAATAAATCAGTCTAGATTGTCCAATTCATAACTGATCAGTTCAAACCAAATAAGTCAATAAACAGCTTCCACAGAGAATCAAACTTGAAACCTTACAAAAATTCACAATCACTACATGAAAGTGTAATATTATATATTTCTTGGGGTGTCATCTACTAATATAACATTTTTTTTCTTAAAATAAATGTGATGATGTTACCAGAATTTACGTGGTAGATTGATATCACACAATGATAACTTAGTTGATCACAGTTGTAATTTGATCTAAAAGCTCAATCATCTATCAAACCTAAAACTACTTGACATTATAAAATTCACAAAACAACATAAATGTCACTTCAGATGTTTTTGTTTTCATCATGGCCTTTTATTTAAATAACGTTATTCCACTGTAATGGATGTGATCAACTTCCCTACTTAATTGACATCAAATCCCTTTACAAGATTATCTTCAATATTTTAATGCTCTTTGGCCATTATAGTACCGCTAGCTCATCTGTAGTCTCCTATTACTTTTTTTACGTGATTATATATATATATATATATATATATATATATATATATAATCGCGTTAAGGTGAGAACTTCTATTTTCAATATTCATTATTTTTATTTTTACTATTTGGTATATTGTAGAATTTTATTTATTATATATTATAGTTAATTTGTTCATATCACCAAACATGTGGCGATATATAGTAATATGATTCTGAATTAATAAGGACACAAACAAATATTTGGGTGGTGATATGCTGAAAGAGAATCTAGTTACATGCGTCTTACAAAGTACAAAGATAAACATTATAGTATAGTAATTGTCATTTGTCACATCCATTTGAGGATTCGTGTCACAATTAATTAATATGGAATTATTTAACAAATTTAAATTAAAAAATGGACAATGCATATATAATTAATTAGACTATGTCGTAATATTTTGGAAGCATTTGGCGACAAGAGGAGAGCTGTTAGCTATGGAGTGGAGTTGGCAGAAATTAAAATAAATTTTTGAAAAACATTTTTTTAATAGAAAGTTCATCTAGTTAAAATTTTGAGACCAGGACTATGTGGTCCAATGGTACCCGGGTTGGACTTCCATTTGGAAGATTATGAGTTTGAGCCTCAATGGAGGTGTTATTGGTTCTTTGTGTTTCAGTAGG